AGTCAGTCGGAAGACGAGCGACTGTCATAATCTGATTATTAGTGGTGCGCGGTTGGGGCGGGGCGCGCGGCGGGCGGCCGGCGCGCTGCAGGGGGTCGGCGCCCGGGCCGCGCGTCCCGCTCGCGCCGGCAGGGACGCCGTGCGTGCGCAGGCGACAAACGACCCGTGGTAAAACAAAAGGAATGTTGCCGGCGACGCTTTGAGGCGCCGGCGCCGCTCCCCGCGCCCTGATCACCCATTTTAATTACGACACAGATCGAATCAATTAATCGGTATTTCTGTTAAAACAAGCGGCGGAATGAGCTTACACTCGTTTGTTAGATATGATTTCGAATACGTCGTAGATTCGAGATGTGATTAAAATTTTATCTCGTAACAGTCGGCGGTAAACGTCAATTACGAGCGTAATTCACGTTCACGAATTACCAAAACGACGACGCCGACGTGGCTCTATGAAGGAAGCTACGTCGGCTCGCGATGTATCCGTCTGAGTGATTGTACGCAGACGTTTTTAATTATAACTTATGATTTTTTCAAGCGAATTTGGGCTCGCCCTTCCCAACGAAAAACACAAGAATAAATAACAAGTTTTTGTGTTGTGTGTTTGTTTTTAAAATGGCGGGAGGTCCGCGCGACGACACGCGAGCGATGCGCGCCGGCCGCCGCGCGCCGGCGGCCTGGCTCGCCCATTTGTCATATTTCGGTTTTGAGAAAAAATAAATAACCTACTCTATTCCGACCAGTGTTTGTTTGTATGTCGATTATTGAGGGTTAAGTATTATCTCTGAACATGAACTGGTACAGATGGGACGTGTCAGCCGAACATACGGTATTGTACGTTTACGTATCCATTTAGTTTATTGTTGAAGTGAGCGCGTGACCGCTCTACATGTGCGTCTAAAATTAATTATAACTTATGTTGATATAATGGTATCGTATATTAATTGATGTGATTAAAGAAATATAAATAACATTCATAAAGTAATTATAGCAAAAGACACTTTATAGAAATTTACGAAAATGTGTTTAAAAGCCGAGATGTATGAGCACACGATTAGGCCTAGACACAACGCAAACAAATTTGACATGAAACCTGTTCGAGTCGAGAGCAAACATAGCTGTTCATACCTACCGATGCTTAGCGTCCCATATACCAATAAATTTACGAGTAGGCACAGGTGGGAACATTCACTACGACTGTAGCCTCAAATCTGACATCTAATACATAGAGCTCTGGCATGGCTGCCGAGAACGGCAGGTGTTAACTCTGACTACACACGCCACTCGGGCCCTCTTGCACAAACGAACCGCCCAAATCCACTGTTTGCCTTTTCTATTAACCGGGGAACTCAACCCCTCTCTGCGAAAGCATCTGAACAAAAGAACATAGTCGAGATAGGCTTTTAAGTTAACACTATTTGAACAACAACTAAAAGCATTGCATTACCACTACCTATTTGAGCCATTGTCAACGGATACTCTGTATCGACGATTTCCATAGAATGACTTAATTACAGTACTCACGCAGCGTTTAGTAGGTATCCAATACAAGAAATGCATGAAATATTTTTGACCCATTTCGAGTCGTATGGCGCCAGGGTCGGCGCCAGCGAGCCCCCGGCCTCTCTCACGCGGGATCGTTAATATAAAACAAACAAAAGTGACCTCTAGACGGGCTCGGGCAGCTAAGCTAACGAGATCCACCAACCACTGGATAAAGCGGTAAATTATCAGAATATAAGCCGTGCGGTGGCGGAGGTCCGCGTGGACCGCGACTCTGCGCGCCCGGGCGGGCCAAGGAAACGTGTAGGAGATGACAGGAGCAACGATGAACTTGGCTAATTATCAAAGAGTGCAAAAACCGGGACAACGCGAAGGAGCGCCGTTACAGCCATCACAAACGACAGATATTCGTTTGCGAGAAGCGATCTACTTTTTGCCAGCCAGTTTAATAAGAGATTGATCGCGGATGCACCGCTGTCCTCGAACGCTAATTACACGGCAGTAATTGCGGAATATTTTATTATCTGTTTTTGATTCCGGTTAAAGTCGAGCGGACGTGATGCTAGTTACTAATCAAACTTTCTTTTGACGGCACCGCAACGGTTGGACTACGGTGGGTAACAATATTCTTATTCGAAAGTATTATAAAACTAATGAGTCAATAAGTTATTCATAATAGTGCATAAGGAAGCGAAAGTGGACGCTGCTACGAGTATTAATCGTGTTCACGTTGGAAGCTGTGATCGAGTCCTTTCGGTCGCCTCTGGATTGCCATCTGCCAATAACGAGATACTGCACGTAACGAGTGAGTTGCTCGCCTATCCGCGGAGGACCGCGGGTGAGAGGGTCGGACGCGGGAGGCTGCCTCGCGGTGGGTCGCGGTGCTCGCTCGCAGGAAGGGCGGAGGCGCCGAGATCTCGACGACTGTGTAATTTCTTCACTGCTCGCACCCACATTATCGATCACGAAAAAAATATAATTGTAGGGGTACCGTCGTAAAGCAAACAAGCTTATAATAAGGTGTAATTTGTGCTCGGCCATTTAGAGAAATGCACAAATTGCTGTCGAGGCAGCTGTTTGTTTTGTCTATGACGGAGGTCCGGCCCCATCTCCCAAATTATTCGTTAACAAGCCTCGCGTCAGATTCAGCAGTCCTAATGGGCTTTCGTTAAGTTTTTGTTATTATTTTGTAATTTATTACTAGCAATATGTTTTTGTGCGTACAATTCTTGGACTCCGACAGCTGCATCGTTTAATTGAGTTAATAGCTAATGTAAGTTTTTTCCTAAATAGCGTCCTCGCGTAGGTGGTGCTATCGCAGATTGTCATACAAGCAAATGCGCTTGCACTGATGGGCGGGCGGAGGGCGGTGCATGCGCTTTGCACCAAATGTAACTACCTAGTAATTGCAAATACATTGACTACACTAGTTTGGTACATAATTAAAGCATATATAATGAATTTCCTAAAGCTTTTTCGTAGTACAATCTATTAGTAATAATAATATTATGTTGTCATAAGGCAGTTTTACAATTATTATGGTATTATTATATTAAGGTATAAGAGTTTTAATTCTATTTGATATGAACTGAATAATTTGTTTCATAAACAATCTTGGTACATTGAATCTGTTAAAAATGGGCCTAATATAATATCATAAAATATCCAATGGATATGTTTGATAAAAAAATGGGACTTTTATTGAGATAATAACCAACGTAATTTGTCAAAAATAACGCTAAGCCATAGAAAAGAGACTAATTGACAATATACATATTATAACGTGTACGCTAAACTTATGAATGCTCCGTAAATTGTTTAAAACAAAGAGCACTTGTAACTGTACATATTTTCGACAATTAACTTCCAAAATATAAACTTAAAGGTTTATTCTGCTAATTACTAACATAATACGAATAAAAATTAAAACTATAATTAAGTATTCAAGATCATTTTATTCGGAACTCAACCTAGTTTTCCTTTAATCTAGATGCTAGTCGTGGCTATTCTCAATCTAGTCTTCTAAGGATCAACACTGTGAATGCTACCATTGGTCTATATCTTTTTTAGAAATCCGAAGTCAAATAACAAAAATGAAATTAAAAAATTGAATTCTATCGATATATCTGACTTTATATTCAAGTTTGTTTTCAATTTTGTTTTTGTTAGTTTAGCTATAGCTGAAATTATTGTTTGTAACTGTTTTAGAATGCCAACATGTTTTTAAAAAGACTCAGTATTAACATATTACTAAACGTGGTTAAATCTCGGTTTCTGTTGCGCAAACATTTGGTTGTTTATTTTGATGACAAAAGCAGATTTTTTAATCTAAATTATCAAGTTAAATGTTAGGTATTTACCATTGTTACCATTGCCTAACTCATTGTCATATTATTTTTTACGTAATACAATCATTTATTTTCTAATAAATACATCCAAACCGAAGCCACTTCGGTACCGACCAACAAGTCGTGAACTTGTTTGCTTTAACTTTATTAAAAAGTAATCTAATCAACATTTTTAATTTTTAGATATCCAACCAAAAAGGACTGATAAATTTTATATTCATAAACAAGTTAATTTAAAGTATGCAATGAACCCCTAATGAATTAACGACTACTACAGTCAATCGGTGTCAAACCGGTATTTACTTTTAAGTTATATGATGTGTTATAAATTTGGGAAGCGATATTATCAATAATTTCCTTTATGTAAAAATGCATTCTGAGTGGTCATTTATGAAAAAATTTAATGAAGGTTTCCAATGGCGTTGAAGGATTCTATTCAATTGACACACGTACTCGTAATAAGAGACGAGTGAGCCATAAACAGAGCTAGCACATTGCTTGAAATTCAAATCACTTCTTCGCCCCACTTCAATGAAAAAAGTTAAAAGGGACAAGAGACGGACATGTTTTTGAATTAACTATTTCAAATTCCGAATTAGTAGATCGAATAGAGACCGAGGTAATGTCCTAATAAAAGGAGAGAGTTATTTAAGAAAATGCAGTCCACATGTAATACACATTTAAAACTCAGTTGTTTTGTATATTTGGAAGGTAAAAAAGTGTAATTACGATGTCTATGCGACCTATAGGGATGGAATAATAACACACTCACGTGTGATAAATCATATAAGCACCTGTGACTGGTTTAAAAAACCACTGCGACTTATTATTATTAATACGCTAGCGCAAGGCTCGCGAAAAGTCTAAATCTAAAAAAAGGTCTTAATCTTTGATAAAAAGAATTTTGATTAATTTTAATGGTATTTATCTTTGTCTATGATCAAATCAAATCACAATCACATGTGAAATAGCTGTGGCTAAAACCAAACATTTTCTTAAATGAATATGATTTAAAAGTAGCAATAATTTCCATGTCTATCGTGAAGTGTGTAACTGGTACTTCTGTTAACTGGTATTTCACGTTGTCAGCTTTATTACTCATAATTGAACATACGAGTAGGATTTTGTGATGTATTTAAAATTACTCACCGGCCCCCCTTAGTGATGATCATTTCAGTGCCGATGTCGTGGAAGCGCCGCCAGAGGTCTCCATTGAGTAGACGCGCCTCGCACGCCGGCGGCTCTGCGTCCGCACCCACTCGGTGTTCTATTTAACAAAAATGATGTATAATATTTATGTGTTTACATTGCACAAAATTTCCATTCCAAAAAAATTAATTAAATTAATAAATGGTTGAAGTTCGTTTTTTGATATTCGATTTTAAAATTGGACTTTTTGAGATGCACATATTGTGGACACGGAACAAACCAGTGTTTCCTGTGTTGATCCAAATACACCACATGTAAATAGTACATATTAGATAATTTTGCAGCTGCATAATTGATTATTACATATGAATATTTAAGATTAGATTTTCCACTGAAAAAAGAACCTAACCTGTAATATTTATTATTTTTCGTTATTTAATATTAGACTTATATTTAGATATGTACCGTATAAGGGGCAACGTGACATAAGTTTTGATGGAGGCTCTAAGCTTGGTTTAGCCAGCACTTCTTCGTTTTTTTATATGCTAACTAAACTGCATCTGCCGTTGAAACTTTCAAAAAACTTATATTCACGTGGATGAATAGTAACTTTAGTAATTAAATATTTCGTATGATAAGGTATTCAAAGACCATAGAATTTAAGTCAGTAAAAGATGCTATCTACAATTGCTGTACATACTATTATAAACTAAAGCTTATCAATTTTACATACATAAAACGTACACGGTACAAATATATTTAAATATCCCAAGTGTATATGAGATTTATTATATTCTAAAAATAAGGTTGACGCATGTTCATGCTTAACCATACACTTATTCATAAAATTTATAATTCTTTCGTTTACGAGTCCAGATTTGAAATATTACTTACTAGATCCGTCATGTTTTATTACTATCGCAATGAGCATATTGATAAGTTAGCACTTCTCTCTCATATAAATAAAACAGGTAGTTCTAAGTAAGAATAAAACTCATGCTGTGAACAGCCTTGCAAACACTTCTAAATAAATAAACACCACATACATGTATGGTACCTAGACCTAACCATATAACCGTACTTGATGTTAACACGAAGCTAAAATATGGAACTTATTTGTTTTGTCGTATGGTAAAATATCATCAGGATCCTTCAAAAGCCTAAGCGTATATAGAAAATAACTCTAAACTAAAAACTTCATTTAACCTCAACAGCATGTAGCAGTGTCAAATAAAAACATATACCTAATGCTTTTTCATAATTTCTCTCTTAGTAGGTAATTTAGGCTGCAAAGGATTTTGGCTGGTTGTTGAGACCGGCCTGTCCTCTTGGGAATCTACCTAATAGTTTTCAGACGGGCGAAGGAGTAAGGTTACCTGGAGCAAGGTTAACTGGAGTAAGGAAAATGAATAGAGCGGGAAAGATAGGGTAAAGAAATTCGCGGGTGTCAGATGACAGAGGCTAGTTAGGCAAAAAGGCTAGTGTCGCTTGAGAGGTGATTAAATATGACACTTGGACATGAACATTAAATAAATGCTGATATAAAGTTAAGACTATGTCAGTTTTTATTGATAAGTAACAAGACAGCTGACCTTCTAAAATTTATACTATTATGTTACTTAGAAGTGAGGTGCAGGTTCCTTTCAAACCTTGATTGAATTAAAATAATTTTTAAATATATTTACTTGTTAGTAACAAAGACGAATTTCATTGAAACTAAATAAAATATTTTTGTTAATTGCATAATGATACGGATGTAGTAAATTTATACATTCTTATTACTATGACAAGCGGTATAATTTATTGTTCTTAACTATTTGAAATTAGGCGTGCAAAGTTTGTACCTACCTACTAATATGTGTGGTAACCTCCGAATGGCATTACCGATTTTATTATGAGTTAAGCAAATGTTTCCGCGAAAATAAGTAAGCAAAGGATATTGTATTGTCTGCGAAAAATCTTAGTACATACTTCTTTTCAAGCAAATATCGCGATTGGAGGAAATAATATATTGAGAATACCGAAGGTTACATATTATATTTAATTAGTTGCATATTAAAATACAATAATTATATACTTACATGTACATCCGTTATATACAATGTATTTCTTTGTAATATACACCGGTCTAAAAACCTTACCCAACAATTATAAGTACTACGAGTATACAAATTTAAATAGCTTTGAAACTATCATGAAAGTACATCCTTTAGCCTATTAGTGGCTCTCAAAAACAAGAATTATGAAACGAAAATACCTCAGCACTTTCCTGACTGGAAATATTACTTCAATGATACTCTCATTGAATTAAATTTAATCTAAATAAAATCTAAACTCGACAGATACACGAAGTTAAAGTATAAAAATATGAATGACTAAAAATGAACTGCAGGTTCACCGTTATTTTATAATTATCTGTTTATATGGACAGTACCTACAATAATTCACGTCGAAATTAATTAAATCTCAACTTCTCGGGACGACACATGTAAATGAGAGACAATATTCTTGACACACACATAAAACTATGAAATATCCAAACTAATGAGATAGTGTGATCACACCATGAGGTTCATTCATCATCCGATACATTAACCATTTATGTAATAGCGCTTAAGGTTTATTTCCGAATAAAATCATGTTTCAACGAAGTTAAGCCCGCGGTATAAATTCAGCTTTCATCTCATGCAATGTATAATATTGATTTTTTACGAGTAATCAAGTTTTGGCGACGCGATGGCCGGCGGTGCCGCGATCAAAGAGCCGATTTGTAATTATTATATGTGTTAGCAGTATCCGTTCCTCAGCTCTTAAAATATTTTATTTTATGGAGACATCGCACGGAAATTATAGATAAGAAAGCATATAATAAATAAATGAATCTTTATCGCTATTGTATGTTTTAATTTCGCTAGTAAATTGTCTTTGATTGAAACAAATTTAAACCTTATTATCCTGACGTAAAAGTATGCTAACTTTAATGAGAGACACAATTTCTCATCTTTAAGTACATTTAAATGCTTTGAAGAGTTTAATATTTCTTAAGAAGAATTTGTAACGTATGTGTATTTTTTGCTTCCTAGAACCATTTCTAGTACAAAAAGTTAACATGAAACGTGGCCATCAATTATGATTATCCATTATAGATTTCCTAATAGCCAATAAAAGTCGTTATTTCATACCCTTTTATGTTGTTTATTGTTTTATAAGGTTAATGATACTAGCCTAGTCTTACTTACACACACAAGCAACATTACGCTCATAAACACAAGTAAGAAAATAAAACGTTAGCACAGGGTTAAAAAAAAATACAATTTGTAATTAAAATGATTAAATTTAGGTACATGTAAGTCTGTGTACCTAAGGTTCATGAACAGTCCTCTCTTGAAAGTCGTATTTTGGTCAATAAGTTCATTCATATATTATAACATATTATTTACGAGCAATAATAGCGCAACCGTATAATAAGCAATTATTTATTTTAAATAAGCTTTGAAAATCTTTCGTTTTCCAGTGAATAACATGGTACGTCTTTTGCTTTCTGAATTAAAAAATACACTTCAAAGATTTTCTACCTTAAAACTTATAAAAAAAATGTAATAAAAAATTACTCAAAGAATGTTGATTTTACGACATTAAATAATAGAGGTCTTTCATCTAAGTAATTCTACACATGTGCGACAAAGATAGAAAACAGTCGCATATAAAATTAAAAAATATAAGCTTTTGTGGTCTCTCTTTTGCATATACTTATGTAGCCAACAATTGTTAAATATAGAATTTTGTTGCATAGACATACAAACTTAGACTTTCTATGCATCAAAGTAAGGTGCAATTTCCTTATTATAGTGATGACAGGTGTATTTTATATAGTAAAAAATATTGTTTCACTGAAGTATTCAAATAGATGCTATAGATAAAATAACTTAAGAGTGATAATTGACTGGGTATATAATATATGCACTCCTCTGTTAGAAAAGTCACATTGACATTTTCTGTATACACTTATTGATTAATTGTCACCACTTGCAAACAATACTCCGTAATTGTAACATTTTAGAAAGTCACTTAATTGTAAGCTATAACAATACTATGTTTCACATTTGTGAAATTTGGTTTTTGTTTCGTATTTAAATTTCACTCAAAATTTTTTGTTTCGTATTTAAATTTCACTCAAAATTTAAATACGAAACAAAAACCATTCCGGCTAATTTAATTTCTTTTATTTTTCAAACAGACTAGGAACCAGACACTTAAAAATATTTGCAATTACAAAAAAGCTAAATTAAAAATGCATATGCATCACTCACTCTCTTATCACTCTTTATGTTTAAAACATTTTATTTTCTTAACCATAATAATGTCGCGTGACTGGATTATAAAACTTTCTAATAAGCACTAGGGGTTTTTTCTAAACAGATTGAAATAAAATTAGAAATATATAAAATCATTTTCAAACGGTCTATGTCTAATTTGTACATGGACCGAATGAATATACACATTCTAATTTCGCAAAAAGTAATCACGTGACTAATTATTTATTGATCTCCGAAGTCCCCCGTGACACAATATATATTCCTAGTGCGAGCGTACTTTAATTTGTTTTTTACGCCTAGTGTACGATACTACGTGTAATAATAATTTTCCTTTAAGCATGAAAACAATTACAATGAGAAGGTACGTGCCGTCACGGTTTGAAATGGTAATTTAGCTTAATAGATGGTAAAATGTCAACGTATGACCCGTTTCGTGGATAGAGGTGAGAATAGGCCTGATGAGTTCTAAGAACGTACAAAACTCAGGAGGACGTTATTAACTCACATTTCCTAGATGGGTATACCTACGTAAATGTTTCATGTAAGAGAGACGCGGAGAAAAGAGACACCACCAGAATTACTTCGGATTATTTATTATTATTATTAGTCTCTTGAAATTACAAAACAGTTAGTATTTATCTAAGACGTCATCATTTCAATTACAAAACAGATATTTATTGCATTTTCTAATAAGCATTTAATAAAATCGCTTTGTTGTTATTACAGGGCATTAGTTGTCATCGGATTAACAAATATTTTAGTAATACCTACAGGAGTTTAGTTAGATTTTTTTCTCTTATTT